AGCCTCACTAAAGGCCTCTCCAACCCCAACAAACCTTAAAAATCACTTCAAACTCTATCACACCCTTTTGATCCCAAAATTTAGTGACACCATGTTTGGTCAAAACCAAATGGGCCTAGCCCAATTTTGGTCAAATATTGATAAATTAACCACATTGTCATCCAATTGAACTCCACCCAACGTGGTCATGACATCACATTATATGGAGAGCACAATTGGCACCATGAAGTCAACCCCCATAATTCACCTAATTAATTAATTAGGAGGATTATGGAGGATTATTAAATTCCGATTATTAAATTCCCTTAAGGGCTAAACATTTGGACTAAACCTAACCCAATTAGGTTAAACCCAACAACCCTAAAAATTCAACCAAAGCACTTAGCGCATGAAGCCCATGGCCCATTTTTCATGAGTCACCCATGACACAAAACCTACCCATCATGACATATGGGTGCACAACAATCCAAACCAAGCTAAATCCATGCACTAAAAGATAATATTGACGCCACTCACCATGAGGGAAGACACATGGCACCTTGGTCATAGCTTCTTTGACCCACACTTGGGGAGCCAAACCAGAGCTTGGGTAGCCAAGACCAGACCAAAGCTGGTATTTGCCACTGCCAAAAGGTCTCCCAATCACCTTGAGCATCTCTCCATGCCTCCTTCTTCACCATAGGTGCCACCATAGTCAAGTCATGGAAACTTGCAAAAGTCCCTTCCCACTGCCCAAACCTCCTAAAATTCTTCTAAAAATACTCTGAGAAGTTGCCTGAGCTTCCCCATGCCAAGCCAAGTCCTCTTCATGCCCTACCATGGCTATTTAAGGAGGAAATCTGAGAGCTCCTGATGCACACTGAGCTCCCTAGATTGCCCCCATATATGCTTGCTCCCAACAGCAAAAAACACTCCCTTAGCCAAAGAAAACCATCCACACTGTTTCAAAGCCCCTTTGGCCACCACAAAATCCTAATTTCACCATCCAAATCAAGGGCATTTTTTCGGCCCTGACAACAACTTCCCAAAACTCAACATTGACCTCTCCATAAGCTTCCCCAAGCTTAAAGACACTCTCTCCAATCAAAATTGTGCCCTCCTACAGCCTCAAACCTATTCCAAGACCAAGCCTTGACCGCTTTTGGTCTAGCTCATAGCTAGGGCCAATTCTAAATCAAATTGAGAGAAGGAGGAGCTTCGTGACATCAAGGCACTGTCAAGCCCAATTGATGCCTCACCTCTTGTGACAAGGTATGGATCGAAATCCCAAATTTTTGCTCTTGATTTAGTATTTTGTGAAAGAAACCAACAATGCATGTCCACCTAGCTGTATAGATAACTTTGTCTTAACTAAATGAATGTGTAGAAACAAACCCGAGTGATTTAGTTGAGAATCGAGTGAGATATTAGGGTTTGACCATAGAACGTTCTCGGTTATTTATCTCATCGATACGATGAATCGATATCGTACATTTCCATGTATTAAAAATGAACAACGAAGATTGAGTCGAACCACTGAACCACTGGGGAGGAGAACACCAAACCATGGGCCACCTCAGCGCCTGCATGTAAAGCACTTCCAAATAAAAGACGTCGTGCGGAGCTTCGGAGCAGAAGAGGTTGATGTGGCTTTCGCATGATAAAAAATATAATTTGATTTTAAACATATTTTTAATTGTTTTTATGAACATTATAGGTATGAAAAAAAAAAAAAGGATTTTTTTTAAGGAATTAGAACATACTTGTAAAAGTGTTTTTTGTTAAATAGATTATATATTGTCCACTTTACAAATCAATTTCACTAGTTTGTTTGAGACATGCATTACTTTATTATTCAAATTTTCAGTCTTATATTTCAATATATAAAATATTTCAATAAAATTTATCTTTTAAAATAAGAAAATTTATATATTTATAAACATGTTGTTTGCGCGGTTGCGCCTTCATAACTCCCCTGCTAGAACCTATGCTCACAAGAGCGTAGGGAGGAAATGTAAGAAAAAAATAGACAAATAAGAAGTAGAAAATAAAAAAGACAGATATGAAGATATCTTATAAAATAGTTCTTGTAAAATGAATTTGATAAGAGTAATCCAAAATGAATTAGATCGTACTCAACCTAAATAAATATACGAGAGAAGCCTTATAAAATACTTTCATATTTGAAACAGATGACAAAATCAAATTTATTTTATTTTGAGTTTAAGAGATTTCACACAATGATGTATCCTCATAGTCAATTATATCTTAAGAGATATCTAGGAGAACTCTCAACTAGAAAAATTATGCATGCTTGCTATGACTTTATTAAAATAGGACGTCAAAGACAATTTTCGTCATATTAATAGGACAAACCTCCTGTTATTAGGACAAAGCTAGTCGTAATCTAATAGGTGATTCACCCCTCAACATAGAGGGTTTAGAAGATGATTGGAAATGACTTAATAAATCAGTTCAAAAATGTCCCAAAAAGGGGTAGTAAATGTCGGCTAAGGAGTACTTTTAGACCTATAAAAATAATTCGGTCACAAGTCCAAGATTCGTTATCCTAGATTATCAATTCCTCAAGTCTATTTAGTTGTGAAGGTAGTCGACCCAACCTGACTATGAACTTCATGTCAGCAACCCACGTGTTTCTTCGTCTAAGGTGGTCCAATAGCCCTATAGTGAAAGAAAGGAGACATCTAAGGTTTCTAAGACTCTATATGGACTGAAAAGATGGAGTAGGACATATACCCATTAAGAGTATGATGAAGAAACCTATGAAGTGACAAGAAGAAAGGACGGCCTGATTATAAAGTTGAATCACCCCACAAAAGACTCATGATCCCGTCTGGGTCGGGATTGCCTATATCACCCAAAATGTGCTAGCCAAACCTCTCAAGCATATACAATATATGTCAGATCAATTAGGTTGGAGAAGCGGGGATACTCCTTTTGTGACATGCAATATGATATGCGATTGTTATCTAAAGTAGAACCTAAGATTGAAGGCCCTAATAGCATGCTCGGGGGATATATCCACTCAATTATGATCATATTAAAATCAAATTGAAGGTCATGCAAGAAAGTAAATGCATGAAATAAAATTATTGATTTTAAATCTTGTAAATTTTAATCCTAAATTTTGTTAGAATAAATATTTTAAGTTACACTATATAACAAAGATTATAACATGAAGAGTATGACTGTGATCATATCTAAAAAAATCACAAGTAAATAAACATGAACATACAACACACTGCAGAAAAAAAAACCCAAATAAAAACATAAAAGGTCAGATGTCAGTAGGTATATAACATATCTCACAAAAGTAAAATGATCACCAGGCTCCGCATAATACATACTTGACCTTAAATATATACAACAAATATATTTAAACTTATGGTAGGGAACACAAACATCTGCTCTTGGTCATCACCACACAGTTCCAGCGCATCAAGTTTCTCAAGACTCATGCTCGTACCTTATGTTCATATAGACTCTCCTCTGAGATTTTAAAAGGACATAAAAAAGTCAAAAAAAAAAAAAAAATCCTAAGCCTATAAAATAAAGGTTAATATAGGTAAAGGCATGCAACTTATAATTAGCAAGGTATGGTGGAAGGAGAGCTAAGTAGCACCTATAAAAAATATGTTAGTTTAACTTAATAATCAAGCTCCTCTCTGTGAGACCTGACTCCCTGCAAGAGACCATCCTAATATACAAGTGTACAATTCTCAAACTAAGTAAACACACAAAGATAACATTACAAATATAATAACTATCAAACAAGTCAGCAAAATAATTGTGTGTATAACAATCCTAATTATACCCTAGTCCTTTCCTGTAGGATATTTCAAGCTGACCCCGTCCTGAGCATCTGAATGAACTGACACTCATCACGATGAGAGATGAATGCTCACCCAAATCTATGCATAAAATAGTTCTACAAAATCCAGTAAGAATAAGATAATTCACATTGCTAAACTGGATAAATCAACCATTAATACTCAATTTCTTATTATCATCATAGGTTAACTAAGGGTACTTAGCTAAAGCATTGCCGCTAGTGTATTGACGGATAAAGTGAAACACATGATGCATAAAAATGCATAATATGCAAATAAGTGAGTAGAGGACTAAACCCCATAAGGCATGACACAATAATGTCAGCATGTCATGAAAGATGTAACTAATACGTCATATAATCGATGAATGCAACAAATGCATACAGACGAATGAGCGCACAACATACAATTTATGCAAGAGCAAACATGAAAAATATTACATGGGAATCAACATGTAAGACATATGATCCAAAGGGGCGTTAAGACATAAAAAAAAGTTGATATAAGTAAATATGCAAATTTAGATCAGTGCAACAATCAAACCATATATATGATGCTATCAGGTTGTGGAAACACAACTTGCAGCATACCCCCTTTGATGAAGAGACAGAAGGGGTTGGCGCCATGGTGCCAAAATGTGACACATAGGCGCTAGCACCTTTGAACCTTAGATCAATGCAATTATCTTTCCAACATGTTAAACCCCATTGCAAACATCTACTTATAGTAGTGGCAAGGCTTTAATAGCTTCCTATGCATCTCGCCGAGTGGTCAAAATGGGTAAAATTGCTTTTTTAAAGGCTTTAATAGCTTCCTAAACAATTTACTTTTTCACAAAACTATTTTTGTGTTTTTTTAACAAATGTTTAAACTAATTTTGAAAAAACTCCAAGAAATTAGTTTTTATATCATCTCTGCATGCGGAGTATCGGAGTTTTGTTAAAAGAACTAATTATAAATTATTTACAAAATTAAAAATACTAGACAACGAAGTCATTAAAAGTTTTACAAAAAAGACAAAACTTACGCCCACCGGGGGGCTCGAACCCCCGACCACAAGGTTAAGAGCCTTGCGCTCTACCAACTGAGCTAGACGGGCTAATTGTTGACAGGTAAAATTTTAAACAGATATTAGATAAGCGTAAGCTTCTTCACCACCTCCTTAACACCTGCCCGGGTCTCTGAGTACGTTTCGGCGACGGCAGAAGATGGCATGGCTGTCTCTACCCGATCCCTATCTTCCTCTCTTTCTCTCTCTCTCCTCTTTTGTTCGTTGCTTAAACCCTAATTCACTCTCGTTTCTTGCGTTTCAACTTGAATTATTTGTAAATTATTGTTTCTGACTTTCCTCCAGGCGCTTGTCTTGTTTCTCGGCATTGCGGCTTTCTTCCTTGAATTTGTCAAGAAGATCGGATGCAATCACCGGTGAGTTCCGTTTGTTTAAATTTGTTTAGTTATGTTTTCGATTTTATTTTCTTACTGTGGAGTTGAATTCCAGCTTTGAGAGGACAAATGCCTCGGATGCTTTCTTTGAGGATCCCAACTCGTTGAAGAAGGTCAGAAATACTCCAATTTATAGTTTTTATTTCATTTCTGATATTTGTTACTGGATGTATGAAGAAATATCACTTTTTGACTTGGTTGAGAACCGATTTGTAATATTTCTTTTCATGATAATGCGACATGAAGTTTTGTTTTTGATCTATGGTAGAAATTTGTGGAAGAATATACATCTATTGTGCTTTCTTTTCATTCCGTTTAGGGTGATCAATTTTGAGGCTCTTTAGTTGTCAAACCACAAGTATAATTTTAAAATATTTGGAATTTTAATGCTATTTTATTTGAGACCTTGAATTTCTTACGCCTGAAAGTATTTTGTTATGCAAAGCGATATGCCAATGCTATCCTTCTAAGTAATGCTCATTATAAAATCACAAGTTTCATACTAATTGGGCGTACTTTGGCCTGTTTGATGTGTCTTGCTTGAGAAAATTTTGGGGAGTGGGATCTCATTAAATTTTTTCCATTGGGGCAGTCGCTTGTAGATTGAAAGCCTGTTTTTAAAAGTGACAATTGTGTTTTTGCTCATTTGAACATGAAAAATAAAATCTTTACTGTCGTGGGATTTTAAATGTAAATACATATTGATTTCTAACTATGTACCATCAAATGACAAAATCTAATAAATTTGTTTTACAAAACACGTTTTTTAACTTCAAGCAACCAAATGAGCTAGATCCACTGATGCAGGACCATTCTAGGTTAAGTTGATCTATTTATGCAAGCCATATAAGCTCAAAAATTAAGCAAGTAAATGCTATAATTATTCATTAAAAAAATGCTATATTCTTGATGCAAATAATGAAGATGACATGGTATGCATCTCCCTTGATAATTCTCCAATCCAATCATCAAGATATGACCATTATTATATCTCATAGAAAAGTATTTTTAAACTTGCGAAACTTTCCTTTTTTATTCTCAATTCTATATTTACTAGTGGGAATGCTCATTTACGTACACAATGTAAATTAATTTTATAGTGCTCTTTTTTTGTTTCTTTTATATTTTTGGTCTATTGAGCTTATCCAGGTTCCATGTCCATCAATCTTTGACAATGCGGAGAAATACTTATCTCTGATTGTCCCTGCATATAACGAGGAGCATAGGCTTCCTGCAGCTATTGTTGAAATGATGAGGTGAATAGTTATTAACTCACATAACATATCAATGGAGAAAATTATAAACTTATAATGGTTTGGTTATGCCAAAGAGTATTTTGGAAAATATAATTGGTGAAATCCTTTTATTGTTGACAGGAATCCATATGGTAATTATTGACAACTGCTCTATATATTTTTCCTTTCTAAATATTTTCTATATCTGCTTTATTTGCTAAGATCTTTTCTGTTTTCATTATGTGGCTCAGATTTGGAAATTTTTGCCTGAATTGTAGAACCGAGTGGTATTTGTTAAGTTTAGTATTAGGTTAGTTTGTTGTTAAATTGTTAAATGGTACATGTTATTTCAGTTATTTACAAGAGATCTGTAGCTTTGCTTTATAGCCTATTTCTGCATATGCTTGGAATGAAATGACAATGAACCTATTAAGGCTCCGTTTCTAAGAGTTTTTATACTGCTTTCCGTTCCACAAAAAGTCTTGAAGTTGTGTTTGGCTGTAATACTTTTATAGAAACACTTTTGAAAAACCTGTTTTTCTTTCAGCGGTCATGCTGTTTCCGAATAACTTTAAAACACAGCTTTCTGCAAAATAACTTTTGAACAAATTTTTATAAATATGAAAGCTTTGCAAAATGAAGCCTAAGTTAACTTGCCTCAAGTTATGCTATCCTACTTTGCATTCCATAATTTCTATGTGACATTTTTACATTGTGAAACATTATTACTTCAATTAATACTTCTAGACCAAGAGGTTTGATAACCAAATTTACATTCCTTTTACGGATCTGCTTTGTTTCTTTATCTGTGAACCCAATTATTAGTTGTTCCAAAAGAATTAGCTTTAGCAGCCTCAAATCTAGATTCAAATATGGAGATGGAAATGCCTTCCTATAATTTAGTATGATCCTAACTTGTGTACATGTGATATCCATTTTCTCTTCTGCTTCGTTTTGTAGATGAGAAGGCTCACTTTTAAGAAATATTTTGCAGCCTCAACATGATCTTTAGAATCTCTGTTTTTTAGCCTTTTTTTATTCGCAAATATTTTTTATATTTGATATGCCTGGCTGAATATTTCTGTTCATTTAAAGATATATATATATATATTTTCTTGTAGTTATCTTCAACACAACGTGCAGCTGCAGACAAGTCCTTCACATATGAGGTATTTGCCTCTTGAAGTTCGTTGTGAAAAAGCTATTGTGCCAGCATTCTTCCTGAAAATTTTAGTTTTAAAAATTAGTTTCACAGGCTTGCTCAACTATATTTGGTTCTATATCATAGTCATAACTCATGACTTCATATGTCTCCTTGATTTTATTTTTTAAGGCATCATTCATTATCATTTTCTAAATATTTAGAATCGACACCGTGAATCCTTTTTTTCTACTTCTATTTGTGTCAAAGTACATTTTTACTTTGCTTTATGCAAGCACTTCATAAATCTTATGTGATAGTATTATCTCTGGTTTACTCATTTTTCCTTCTATTACTCTCATATTAATTTACTTTATCATTCTTTTTAGTTTCCCTTCTGTCCAAAATTTGCATGGTTAGAAGATTAAATTATATTTTCCTCCTTATATTTATTAGGCGGCTCTTTATTTATCTTTTCATATAATTATTTCTAGTTTTTCCATGTTTCGTCTTAATATTCTAATTTATTCTACACCTAACTTGTTAGCCATTTAATTTTTTGTTGCCCAAAACTTTGATCGATTTAACGAACTAGTATATTTAGAAGTAAAGTTATATTAAAATTTTAAAAAATTTTCTTGTCATGCTATACTCTTGATGTTCTTCTATTATAAGCCCTTTTTTTTGGATAAAAAAACAGAGAAAAGAAAAGTTGTACATTTTTTAGACAAAAATAGAAACCCTTATCTCTATCATGTTATAAAATAGGATTCATTGTACTACTTACCATTACTTATTATTACTTAATCTTTTACTATTATTGATTGATAATTATCAATTACAACTGATAAAAATGCATGCTTTACATCTGATCTTTCTTCTATTATTTCGAAGCCCATTGTTTTGCGAAATTTATTCTATTATTCTAACTTTTCTCTTATTTTTTAAATACCTTGAATATTCCAACTCTATCGGAAACATTGTTATAAGCTTCATCATAATCAATAAACAAATAAGAAATCAATCCCAATACACTTTTGAATAGATTAATCATAAGCACACTCCCCTTTCAGAGTTATGGCTTGAAAACTTGTGCATTATTTTTCCAGAGACTCTAATTCATTCTTTGATTCATGTGAAGTTAGCAAGTGAATATCCATTTAAATTTGGAAACGAAGTTTTAATACATTTCACTGTTAATATTTCTCCACTGTTAAAAAAGTTGTTTTGTTATTGGATGTTTGAGGGTTGTAAGTATTTATGTAATCACCAACGTGTCAATTATTGACTATGTTTAGTCAAAATTTATCAAGGGCAACTTAAACAGTTGTTAAGATGGGTCTGAACGCTGATTGATAAAGAATATTAGAAAAAAGAAAAAAAGAAAAAAAAAAAACTAAACGTGTTATTAAGATTTCTAAAAAGATGCCTCCCTCTTAATTCTCTGAGTAAAATACTATTATTTCTTAAATTAAATTATGCTATTTAAATATTTTGGGATCTTATTTTTTAAAGTTTTTTGAAGGTTGATTGATATGATAAACTAATTAAAGGAATTGAAGAAAAAAATTTCTATATGGAAACATAAAATTCTTTCACTTGGAGTTCATGTTACACGGTAAAGTGTAATTTATGTGATATTAATTGTGTAATTCCTGATGTTATCATAAGTTATTATGTCAAATTTTGTTATTTTTTTTAAATTTTTGTTTCTTTTTACACATTTTGGGTATATTTTGTTTTATATGTGCAAGTATCAAGAAGATTTATTGAATGGAGCAGCACAGCAAGCTTGACGCCTATGTGCCAAGTTTTGGGCGCTTATGAGCCATCCTACTATTTCATGCCACATGGACAGAGAGCTTGGTGCCTATGCGCCAAGCTACGGGTGCATATGTGCCAAGCAGTGGCGCATATCCTTCATACTTCATGCGATGTACAGAATGATTGGCGTTTATGCGCCAAGTAGTGTGCGCATATGCACCCACACTTAATAGCCACATTCATATAAGGCTTGGCGCTTATGTGCCAAGCAAAAGGCGCATAAGATCCGAAGTTGGTTGGAGACAGTTCGGGAGGGGATGATGAGTGACAGTCGTCTGATTTTAAAGATTGCAATCATCAATTGAATGAGAAGGATATAAAAAGATTGATCACGAAGATGCAAGGCTCGGTTTTCTCATTTTTTTCCTTAGAACTTTTTTAGAGCGGAGGAGGACTTCTTCTCAGGAGAATTCTTAGAGAGAGAGAGAGCAAGATTATCGAGTGCAATTGTACAGAGAGATTGGTGAGAGTTTTGATGCTTGTATTCGGAGAAAGCTTTGAGCACATTTGAGTGGAGGCATTTCAAGTGTGGGATCTAATTTGTTTTCTTAACTCAACTCTTGTCTTTTGCTTTTATTTTAATGAATCAAATTTTGAGTTTTGTGTTTCAAAGCATGTCTAGGAACTAAACTTTCTGATTATCTCTTGATTTAATGAATAGAAATTCTAGGTTTTGATGGATGTTTTGAGTTGAGCAATGTGGTGTTATGGTGAAAATTAATCACTCGCATATTTTTTTTGCATGCAAACTGGCCGCTTATTGTGTAAACTTATTTTGTGATATTTGTGATACAAAATTATCCTTAGTGGAACAATTGATATTAATTTTATTAAATTGTAAGAATAAAGATATTACTCAAGGTTTAGTGTTAACTTGATAGGAAATGTAATTCTAGAATTCCACTAGATGTAGGGAACTCATTAATGGAATTCACTTTCTTAATTCCACTGGAAGGGGATGAGAAAGAAGATTATTCCTGTTAGTCACCTACTATGACACTTCATCGAACCTAGTTTTCTAGGATTCATTTCCGGGGAGAATCATTTTCTCACATAAGTTTCTTTACTCAATTAAGATAAGATTTCTTTTTGCAAAACTAAGGTGGACACTTTACTTAGAACTAAAGCTGAAACTTTCAGGCTTGGTCTGATAATTTTAGACTAGAATTTTTCCAAATTTTGTTCATCTCGTTCCTTGTGGGATTGTGACTTGCGTAGTACTACTGATACGCCACGTATACTTGCTCGAGCCGCCCGTGCTTCACAACACTTGGTGTGTGCGTTTTCCTTCGTTTTTCTCTCTTTTATTTTAGGAGTCGTCTGCCTGTCGGTCATCGTATACTTTCCTTTCCCGAATAAATCTCTCTTTCGGGTCATATAAAAGATTTGAAGAAGAGAGGAACCAGAAAAGACGGACATACGACAAAATGACAAACAAGAGAAAACACAAAATGTGGAGAGCCTATGTGTGGTAAACCTTGCAAGGATAAGGATAGGTTAAGAGTGTCCGCCCAAACAAGATCGGACGAAAGCACCTTAAATCGGTATCCGCAAAAGAATGCCTACGTAAATTATCCAAAACTAGAGAGTCAGGTGTAGGTGCCTGTTCTGGGGCCATGAGTGCTCCTAAGGAGACGTATTCTACTTAGTTAATTAAATCTTGTGGGTTGCTCAAAAAAACTCTTGATCCAAAGGGGGTTTTGACTACCTCAAAAATGACAACTAGCACAGGGTCATCAAGGAAGGTTATATCGTTGGGGGAATGTCCCGATGCTTCAAAGCTCTCGCTAAACCACTGGGCGAGAAGTGAGTCTCTCCCGGTTCCCATATGGATAGCGAACTCATCAGCATACAGAACCTACGAAATAACCGTATCATCCCAACGGGAAGTCCCGATACGTCAAAACACATCCGAACCGTAAGGGCAGATGACAAATCGTCGTATCCCAAACGGGCGGCAACTCATTGTTCATCAGGTCGTCGGGATGATTCTAACAAAGGTAAAAGAAGAGACAAGACTCAACAGGGGTAGTCAAAAGGTAGGGAAGAGTGGACCTAAGAGGTAGAGGTAACTGGGTCGGGGTACCACAGACCCGTCATAGACGGCTACTGGGACCTTAAGTCTACCTGGTCGTGAAGGTAGTCGACCCAACACGTCTTGAGGTTCCCGGTCAGCAATCCGTGAATTGCGTCGTCCACAGGAACCCCGGTAGTCCTAAGGTCAAAGGAAAAAAAAATTCTATTTTATGACTATAAGCTGGAGCTTCAAGAGGTGAGACTTATACCTGCCGAAGTAGCAATGATGCCTCAGGAAAAAAGAGAAAGTGGAGGTTCAGCTACAAAGCTGTAAACACTCCAACAAAAGGACTTACACCTTTACACCTCGTCTGGGTCGGGGGGCCTTCTAACACCCTAGACGCACTAGACAATCACCTAAAAAAGGTATGCTGGACCAGTCAGGTTGAAGAAGCACGGAGCTCCTCCTCGGGACTTGCAAATATGAATGCAGTTATCTAGAGTGATCCTTAAGTATTGTGGAGGCCCCATTACTATATGCAGAAAAGTAAATGTTGCAATTTTTTTAAATCCTGAATATTTTAAGCCTAAATTTTAATTATCTTGAATATTTTATTTAGGATTTTTTAAATAGAAAAATTAGAAATTTAAATCCTAATGAACTTATGTTATATCGTGAAATCTCAGATACACAGAAATAAATAATATAAAACTCTCCAACATGCAAAAACACACGATAAGAGAAATAAAACACCCCAAAATAATATATAAACAGTCAAAATACCGTTGGACCGACAACATAATCCAGTGAAAGTAGTAAAAGCGACCGGACTCCGAATATACATCCATAGTCCTAAGTCTATACAATAATGTAAAATTCAGACTTAAGGTACGGGACAAGAGCTGCTGCTCCTGGTCCTCGGCACATGGTTCGATGCATCATTCGTCTCGAAACCCGTGCCCGTACCTTATTTCCGATATAGACTCTCCTAGGACTATCAAATACATTTAAAAAAGAAAATAAAGACTCGACCTACAGAAAATAAATGTTAGTGAGCACGTCATGCATCACAAAATAACAAGCCGTGCCTTATAGTTGGGGAAGCTAAAGAGCACCTGCAAGCAAATGGTTAGAAATCATTATATGCTCCCCCATAATAGCCTTGTGTGAGTGTGTATAAGTAGACA